ACGGTGAAAAACTGTATTGGACATTACATGTATTGGACATAAATTTTACGGTAGTATACCGTTTTTGGAAGTGAAAAAGACTGTATAATTTACAGTGAATAACCGTAAATTGACATTCCCAGAATTCCCTGCGTTACATTTCAAATTTGATGTTTTTTTGTTGAAATAACTATGTTTCTTCTTAGTTTTTTCTTATCAGTTTTGTATATTAGGGTTGTGTGTTACACCTAATGTTGTTAAATTAATGTTTATTGCATGATTTCAGTTTCATGTGTTTAGCGTTTGTGTAAATGACACTGTGTACCTTCTATATATGTTATTATTTAAAAGCTGCTTGTGATGGGCTTTGCTCATCATGTGACTTTCTCATCACCACCTGCATTTGGTGGTTATCAGTGTATTACAAAGCTACAAAACAGATTTCAGTACTTCAATAGGTTGGTATATTAACATTATATCAGTTAATGAAATTACGGTATTTTACTGTAAATTTAAGTTAAAACCGTAAAACCTAAGACGTTGCTACCGTAGTTTTTACGGTAAAATTCCGGCAACCACAGCTGCCGTTTTTTAACATAAATTGTACGGAATTTTTTTACAGTGCAACTCTAACTGTAACTGACATGCATTTTTTTTTTTTTTTTATAATAGAAAGTTATGTCTTATTCGGATTAAACTGAGTAGCCTTTAAATATTATTCTACCTTGAAAAATATTTGAAGACTTTTGTGATTGAAATAAGTATTTGGTGCCAGTATTTTAGTACTTAATTTAAATAATTTTCTTCACTTCTAATCATTTTCTTAAATCATTATTAAAAAATCGTATTAAAACAACATGAGTACAAATATTACATTCCTAACACTACACATTAAAAAAAAAAAGCTTTACAAGATTTCTTTTTCATCTCAGATATCCTAATCTGTCACTGACCCATAAACTGAAAAATAATTACCTTGTGCCACACATGTTGACAGACCTGAAGTTTTTAAGACACAGAAAGACAATTGATGAATTGAATGAATACATTGAATCAAATAGTAGACATTTACTAGACCCTATAAGACTTACTTGTTAACATCAAGACAAGTCATTCTGTTCAGTTGGACAAGTTTCTGTTAATAATCACGTTAATGAATAAACTCATTTGCCCTTGTGACACTTGTTGGGCTAGCTCTAATTCAACAAAAAACAATCAACATTGTTATCAACAGTTAGGTCCAAAAACTTACTTGTAATGTCAGAGGTTCAATATTCAAAAAAATAATCCAGTCACATATATTCGAACAATAAAAAATGTCAATCGACTTAAAAACGTTTATTTTCTAACGCACAAGAAAACGTCCTCGAGCATCTGAGGACTCTCGCCGAGCAAAGTTAGAGATTTGTGATGCCTCGCTCTGAGAACGAAACATATTCGTATCTTTCCGACATTAATTTAGCCTAAATTTACTGAGAGCTGAAGACAAAGAAGTTGATGTGATCGAGAAGAAAGAAAAGAACAGCGAGTGAAAACGCAGGAATCTTCACTTGCCAGAGAATACGTGAGAGTACCTGTGCATTTCTACCTGCTGCCAGCGTCCAATCACAGCGCGCCGTCTCAATCTCCTCCCAAATAATGAGCCCGTTGTTTTCGGCAGAAAGAAGACTCGTCTCGCACACAGTGAGTGAATGGAGGAGAGCAGAATTCCTGCTGTAGGCCTACGTGGAGCCTACACTCGGTTAGATTGAGATTATTTTTGGTAATAATGAACTTAATTTTGAGTAATCTTTTCTGAAGCCACACAATAGTATTTTGTCGTCGTTTATCTTACGCTGTTTTAGTCTGAAAAATGTTTAATATTCAAAATACTTAAATACAGGTTATGTTTTTATTTATAACATCTTGTAACAATATTTTCTATATTTAGATACAACGTTTACACTATTACTTAAATCATTAAACATGGTTTTTAGTAAAACAACAGTAACAACTAATTTGTCAGTTTCACTACTACAGCAACCATATTTTAATCACTGTATTCACATTAAAACCAAGGTTATACAAATGACTGGTTATAAGAAGTCTGCCAAAAACACCATGGTTACCTTGAAGCATCTAGAACACATAATTTACCATTTTATTTAGATATAATAAATAATCTTTATTAAATAATTTGCCATTAATAAGAATGAAACAGTATAAGGTTCAGTATCAGTGGTATAAAAATCCTTGAAGTATTATTGTAACTAAGTTATTGTTGTCCTCAAGCTGAAGGGTCAGTCATTTGACCCTCTTTATCTTACATACATACATACATATATATAGACACACACACACACACACACACACCCCCACACACACACATATATATATATATATATACACAC